AGAGAGGGAGAGAGAGAGAGAGAGAGAGAGAGAGAGAGAGAGAGAGAGAGAGAGAGAGAGAGAGAGAGAGAGAGAGAGAGAGAGAGGAGAGGAGAGAAATATAGAGAGAGATTGGTAGTGAGAAAAGGAGAGAGAGAGGGAGAGAGAGTGAGAGTGAGAGAGAGAGAGAGAGGGGGGGGGGTGTAATCGGGCGAGGTGAGGAGGACAGAAATTCAAATTCAAAGTAAAGCACTTTGTCCCCTTTATTACAAAGGTTACTTTTTAAACACTAAAAATGAACTAAGCATGACAGATATATGACATGCACGTAGAAAGTCTTTTAAGAATGTATAATAGAAATATATATTACGGAAAAAGGAAAGGATAAGAATAAAAAAAAGATAAATGACAAACAGGTAAAAAGAAGGTCCATTGATTAGATTGGTGATGATTACTGACGGCGTAGGGCAGATTGGTGATAATAACTGACAATTTGTTAATAATTATTGACAAGTTAGTGATAATTACTGATAACTTCGGGATAATTACAGACAATTAAGTAATGATTTAAGATAGGTTGGTATTGATAATAATTATTATTAGCAGGTTGGTGAAATTAAATGTCTAAAGTAGTATCGCAGTTTGTGATAATCACTAATAAGCTGGCGATGGCTTATTACAAGTTGATGATAATTATTAACAATTTGCTGATTACTTGAGACAGGTTACAGTGACACTAAGAGGATGACAATACTTACGAACAGGTTGGTAGTCATCAATCATCTCTCAAGTTTACTTTTGCCTCGTTAAGAAGAAGAAGAAGAAAAAAAATAACAGTACATATTAAATCGTCACGAAAGAAAATGGAAAACAAATAAGGAGAGATAAAGAAACAAACATAGAAAGAGGGAGATTACGCGAGAAAAATGCTAAGGGAAGGGAAATGGACTTAAGAGAGATCAGTTTAATGCAAGGCAATCTAGGTAATGCCTTGGCGTCTGGAGGAAGTCACCATGAAGTCTTGGCGAAGTCATCATGAAGTCATCGTGAAGTCGTCTTGGAGTAATCATGACGTTATGAACTCCGATTTTCACATAATTCCTTATATCACGTTAATGTCCCTTTTGAATAGATGAATTAATTACTGTCATTGCATTTGATATCACCCTGTAAAGGGATATTGTTAAACTAATAAAAGGAAAATTGGCAGTAATAACGGTGACATAGATGGAAAGCAAGAGATAAAAAAGACGGGGGACAGATTAAAGGAAAAAGAGAGACACAGGGGATGAGGGAAAAGGAAGAAGAGAGAGAGAGGAGAGGGAGAGGGAAAGGGAAAGAGAGGGAGAGATAGAGATAGAGAGAGAGGGAAAGAGATACATAACACACATTTGCAATGTACATACATGGAGATATGTACTTACGACAAATAGATAAAAATAAATATAGGCCAACGGATAGTGCTAAACAATGTACGGTGGAGAAACAGCGATACCTGGAAGATACCAAGAACAAACAGATCAGCAAACAAACAAACAAAAAAAAGGAAATATGGCAAATAACCCATCACCCCTGTTTTTTTTTCCGAATATTATACCACGGCACCGAACCAAGAGTTTGATATTTGATTAGGACTTTGTAATATCCTGTCGTAGGGGAAAGACCAAGGAAATTATTTGCCTTATCAAGGTTTGTAACGATAGGAGTAGTAGGGGAAATTAAAAGGATTGTTAGGGAAGGTAAAATTGGATGGGGAGGATATCTGTTTCATGGGAATATAAAAAGAAAATCAGATATAGAGGAAAAAGTATAATATATAGTATATATGTATAAACCTCTCTCTCTCTCTCTCTCTCTCTCTCTCTCTCTCTCTCTATATATATATATATATATATATACGTATATACATACATATATACATAGATATAGATAGAGATACTTAAACTATATACATATACACACATTTATATGTATATTTATATATATATTTATAAATATATATATATATATATATATATATATATATATATATATATATATATATAAACAAATCTATTAATCGATTCATAAAGAAAAGAAAAGAAAGTAAGTAAAAGCAAGTATATCTATAAAACTGGAGGAAAATAATGACCTGAAGACCCGGCGGATTTTCCCCCGAGGTCCATCACGACAAGAGATTTATGAAAGTCTTGAAGCATAGGGGTCGTGATGATGATAAATCGGGGATAGAGGGTGCGATGATAAGGGGATAGAGAAGCGGGGATGAAGCGGGGATGAAGGGGGATGAGGGGAAAGGGGTAGCTGGGCGGAGGGAAGGGATAGGGGAGGGAGGAAGGGGAGATGGAGGAAGGAGGAATTGGAGAAAGGGAAGGAGGGAGGCGGAAGGAGGAAAGGGGGAGTGGAAAGAGAGAGAGAGAGAGAGGGAGAGGGAGAGCGAGAGCGAGAGTTGAGGGGGGAGAAGAGGAAAAGAAGGAAGATGTGAAGAGAGAGAGAGTGGAAAGGGGGTGGGGGGGGGTAGAAGAATTGATGACAGGAGTGAGGGGAATGAGGAAGAAAAGGGAAAATGAAGTTAAATGAATGAAGTTAAAATTAAGTTAAATATGGCAGACAAAGAAGATAAATAAAATAAGCTAATAGGAACCTAGGCCATGTTAAAAAGGAGGAATTAGAACGAAAAAAAAGAGGAAAAGGGAATAAATTAGGGAATGGAAGAGAGGTGAAAGACCGTTGGATTTCGGGACGATAACCCATCTCAGTGACCTTAGTTGACCAAATGATTAAGTGTTGAGCCCGGATGATGCAATGGCCAAAGAAAGAAAAAAGCTTTATGCTCAATTTTCTTTTCTTTTGAGACTACTAGTTATATGGTGTCTTTGTATCATTATTTCATTTTCGTTATTTTATTTATTTCAGTTTGTCTTAATTCGCTTATTCTTTGACCAATTCATTTCTTCATTTTCTAATTCATCTCTTGGTTCATTCATTAATGTATAGTAACTACTAACTACTTTATTTGCTTATTTGAATTATCTGTCCATCAGATTCGATATTTACTCACCTCACGATCACTCCATATATCATTTTATTGTTATTTAGGTTTTATATTAATTTGTACATTATTTTCTCTTATAATGTATCATTTTATGTATCATTTCTTGCCATTTAAACATTAATTTCTCTTATTGTTATTGGTGTTTAGGTATCCTTTCTTGCTATTTACTTATTTTTTCTAATATTTTATTCTTTGGCGATGGAAAAAGCGAATGATAGATTGAGATTGAGATTGCATAATAGATTGAGAGATATATGCATACACATGTCAGTAAATTGATGCTTAATAAATGGAGAGACGTTGCAATATCAGTAACAATAAAAATAATAGGAAAAAGGTGTCTTATTTCGAAGCGACGAAAATAGGGCAGTGTATGACTATATCATTTCCCCTCAAAAAATGCACAAATAAATAATTATGAGAAACAATGAGTTCATGAAAACAAAAAAACTAGGGAGGGAGAGGGGGGAGGGAGGGAGGGAGAGAGAGAGAGGGAGAAATAATAGAGATCTAAGCACATCCCCCCTTGTTTAATTGAAAGCGGCATAATTTATGAATTATGGAATTTACTGTGATGCTTTCTTTAATCCATAAAACTTCTGCTTTCACGAAAACCCCCGTCTTGCATCATTAAAGAAAACGTGCATTTCTGTGTGGTATTTAAGGGTAGACTACAGAAAAATAAAGCGGGTGCTCCTGGCGATGTCGTATATTTACCACTGTCTTGAAAAGAGTATTAAACCTTTATCATGATTACTGACATAAGATTATCACAACACTAATAAAAGTGAAACGGACAAGAAATTACAACAACTGTTTATAGTCTCCTTTCCCCTAAAAACATTTCATTTCGCGTCTGTAAATTAACTTTTTTTTTTACCCCGTCGGCGACATGTGTTTTTCTTGTTCCAGCTGGAATGAGCCACAGAAATTCGGATGAACCTAGCACAAAGATCACTTACCGGATTTTTTGCTCGTTAAGCGAATAGCATTAGCATAACATTTAAGCTTTTTTTTTGTCTTGCCGGGAGCGAATGTATGTAGACAGCGAAAGTGATAAAGGAGACTGATATGGAAAGTTAGAAAATGGAAATGGAAGGCAAATGGATAGAAGAAGAAAAAAACGAAAAGTGGCGGGTGTGAAATATACGTAGACATTAGCAATATAATGAGGTTTCAATATAACCATCATTATTTAAATCCAGCGTTTTTGAAATAGTTTCAGTGTGGATCGTGACAATATCTTGATGAAGAGGTGCTTGCACGAGAGAGACAGAGAGACAGAGAGAGAGAGAGAGAGAGAGAGAGAGAGAGAGAGAGAGAGAGAGAGAGAGAGAGAGAGAGAGAGAGAGAGAGAGAGAGAGAGAGAGGGGGGTAGGGAGACAGAGAAAGGGGGGAGGTAGACAAAGAGAGGGGGAGGGAGAGAGAGATGGGGGGAGAAACACAGAGAGGGGAGAGAGAAAGAAAGAAGGGTGAAGAGAGGGAGAGGGAGAGAGAGAGGGAGGGAGAGGGAGAGGGAGAGGGAGAGGGAGAGGGAGAGGGAGAGAGAGAGGGAGAGAGAGAAAGAGAGAGAGAAAGAGAGAGAGGGAGAGAGAAAGAGAGAGAGAGAGAATGAAAGGGAGGGATAGAGAGAAAGGGGGGGGGGGGTGGAGATATTCAAAGAAACAAGAGACTTAGATAAGCATGTACAGTCCCCGAGTTCTGTTTCGAACGCCCAAATATTCAGATCCATTTGGTGATTTGGTATTTCTTATCATATATGATACATCATTATTTTTCATAATAATACTTTATTATTTCTATAATACATAATGTACTTCCATAGTTTGATTTAAATGTTTAAGTTGAACTATGTACTAAGTGTACTGAACTTTAGAGATTTTGCCGGTGGTAGATGGCTATCATTTGGGCACCACCGGTAATGCTGAAGATTTCCGCCGTAATCAATCTGAAATTGTTTCCATTGCAGGTGCTGTGCGGAGGAGCATCATTAGATCCGATTGCCGCAGTGACCAAGTGTCCGCCCTCCAGAGTATCGCCGCCCGCGCTTGCATGATGTGGGTGAGGCGCCCGATGGGCGGCCCCTTGTGGCGCGGTGGGCGTGCCGGCGAGAGGAAGGTCGCGTGATGGCAACGCCCCAGAGCCGAGTGTCTCACGCCCCTAGCACCGAGAACCTGCTGGCTCCGCCTAAGGCCGAGACGCCCCTCTGCGCCATGCCGCGCCCTCTGATCACAATGGGCGAGAGCGCCGACAGTGGCGACAGCGTGACGGCGTCGCTCTTCCCCTCCAGCGCCGCCGTCGTCGGCCAGCGCTGCCCCCCCGACGCGCAGCACGACGCGGGCGCCACGCGCTCCGTCCCCGACATCGAGCTGCACGCCCGCGAGGTGAGCACGCGGCCCGAGTACCGCGGGTACCGCCTGCTGGCGCCGCAGGTGCGGTGCTCGTGTTCGCACCTGCCTCGCGCGCCGTCCCGCGAGAGCGTGCGCTCCGTGCAGGGCGGCAGCGAGGTGGTGGTGGTGGCGCCCACCTCGTACCGCGACCGCATCATCCGCCAACACTCGCAGCCCGAGACCTGCCTGCACTGCCACCACCCGAAGCCCTCCGCCTCCCTGCGCCACCTGCCGCGCCTCGACTCCTGCTCCGCCACCACGCACGCCGCCGAGGGCATCGCCACCATCGCCGCCGACACGCTGCGCATCAACGGCGCGCTCAGCTCGTTCAAACAGGTGGGTGGCCTCCTTAGCTATATTCTCTGA